TAAGTTTAGATTCTTTTTTTTTTTTTTAATGCATGTAGAAATAGGATAATAGGCCAGCAGGCAAAACCCACTTGCACAAAATTTCCCTCCCATTTATCTGTGGGAAGGGATGTGTCTGCTCAGGCTTTTTGACAATGCAAGTGAGAGGCACAGGCAAAATGGACTGTGCTTCTCCTGTTGACAGTGCCATTCTCTAGCAGAAGTGCCAGCCCTATGTATTGGGGTCATGTTTTGGTTTTTTCTTTCAGAAAATATTATATTTCATACATAACAAACAACAACAAAGTAATTATAACTAAATTGTTCAGCTTAGTGTTTAATTAAAACCCATTTTATAAAGGAATTACTTCAGTTACTGACCAATCATTAGGTCAAGCTCACTATTTACCAAATTTAAATGTATACAAACAGAGTATGTGGCAGCTGTGCTTTTGTCTGAAGATGTATGTGACTTCTAGTATTTGTGTTTATATAAAAGGAAAAACTGCAATTATTACAGGACTCATTAAAATTCTCTCTCTCAAAAAAAACCCCTTATTGACAAGAGGTTGTAATTGAATAAGGCATTTCAGTCTTAGAGACATAATTAACTCCAGCCTGACTCTTTGGTGAATGACCTTTTCAAGAACTCAGAACCCTGAAGACCCCTGTTTGCAATCAGGGGTGTGACTGCAGCCTGCTCTACCCTTCTTGCAGTGAGGCTGTGTGGGGAGAGCACAGACAGCTGTAACTGGAGACTTCAGCAACAGCTGCTCCAGCGCAGTTTGGATGGGGAGCATCTCAACAGAGTGTTTCCTGCTAAAGCTGTGTTCATGCATGGATACTTCAGTGGAGCTTTGAGAGGACAATGCTGTAGCAAACAAGAAAAACATGTCACTTATCAATCGTAACAAGATGAAAATACTTAGCTATGTCAGAAAACTTAAATTACTTTACAAAAGACCTCTTAACTTTCTCCTTTCCTTTTTGCTCCTTTTTGTTCTCAACCATATTTGCCATGTGCAGTACCATAAGCTCAGATTTGACCAGTAAAATTCCTCTCTGAAGGAAAAAATGCTCAATTTACATAGTTAATATCAAATAAAGTTTGAAGTGGTTTATTAACTTCCTAACAACACATTAATTAAAGTGATCATTGAAGTGTGCATTCAAGATCAAAATCACTACAAGAAGTAACATGTAAAATACTAGCAGACATGAACTTCTAAATACCTTTCTAAAACACCCTAGAATTGATAAATCCCTCCCCTGCAGCTAGCAGCACACCTGCCCCTCCTGGATACAAGGGTTTCCTGATGTGCTGGTCTCTGCAACCTGGCCCTCCACTACGTTGCTGGAGTACCCCCAGTAACCTGTCACTGTTTTCTTGTGCTGGGGTGCCCAGCACTGGACACATCACCCAGACCTGTCTCATCAGGTTGAGGAGGAGGACTATCTCCTTTGACCTCCTGGCAATGCTCTGCCTAATGTGACCCAGGAGGCTGCTGCCTTTCTTCAAAATAAAAATGACAACAATTTAAGTGATGTTTAAAGATTTTTGGTGGGTTTGGGCTACACTGGCCCAAAGGAAAAGCTGTCCCTAAGAATTTATAAACAAATATGAAAGATTTTTCAGACTGTTTGTCTACATTGTAGTTTGTGCCCCTACAGGAAAGCTGAAGAGGAACTTTTTGCAAGAGAATGTAGTGACAGGACGAGGGGGAATGGCTTTAAACTGAAAGAGGTTGGTTAGATTACATTTTAGGAAGAAATTCTTAACTCTAAGGGTGGTAACGTTGCCCAGTGTTGGAAGGTATGGATTAAACTGTCAAAGAGGACTGTAAATCAATCAAGTGACCTTACAGCCTGAGCGAACAGCAGGCCAGTGATTCTCTAGCATGGACCAAGTTTAAAGGTGCCTGCATCTTCTTTATGAACATTTGCCCAGGTGCTGCTTTTAGGGTCCCCCTGAAAGCAAGGGAACAGGAATAAACAGACTGCATTCTAACAGTGACTTTGTGGCTGTCCCACCTGCCTGCTTGTGTCAACACACACACACCTAGCGAAACTGTGGATGTGCCATCCCTAGAAGTGTTCAAGGTCAGACTGGATGGGACTTTGAGCAACCCGGTCAAGTGGAAGTGTTCCTGCCTACACCAAGGGGATTGGTGCTACATGATCTATAAGAACACCAAGTGTTCTATATGTTTCTGTAATTTTCACTATTACTAACTCTTGTACTAGGGAACCAAGATAATTGCAGGGCTTCTTTCTGTGTGCTGCAGCTACAACCCTTGATGTCAGTTTGTGAAAATACTTGGTGTTTAGAGCTAAAATACTCATTTTAAATACTGAATAAATTTTCAGCCAGTGTTACTAATCATGTCTGCCAAGTCTGCTGCAGGATGGCAGAACAGAAGTGAGGACAAAAGGTAGTTTCTTGTCTTTAGTGTGATATTCTAAAGATAGCAAAGTTACATTCTTAAATTGGTGCCTTAGTGGTGGCTGAGCTATTTCCCAAATCTGTGGTAGCACATACATTGTGTACCTTAATTTTTTTAGAGTTGTGATGTCCTGTACTGTGTGTTTCTCAGTATGAATGCTCTGGTCCTTCTGTCTGTAAGAGCTGAAATCAGAACTGGCCTTCCTCTGTAAAAAGATTTGCTAATCTCAGCCCATAACCTGATAGATAACTGTTCGTGTAAACATGATTGACAATCTCTGCTTGGGAAACTGAATTTAAAATCAAGAGGTCTGAAAACAGAGGCCAAAGCAACTACTTGAAAAGCCTGAGCATGTTTGTCCCATGGGCATTTCTAGGAAACTATCTCCAGAGATGGTCAAAGGAGTGAATCAACAAATACAACCCAGAATATTTCTCTCATTCTTTCGAGTCTGTCATAAAAAGCACAGGATGCAATAAAGCAGCCTTTCCCTAAAGAGAATCAATCAGCTATCTGACTGCATTTCCTTTCTCAAACACAGATCATATGCTGTACATGACAGCACAAAAGACATTACAAAACAGCCTTCCCACAATGAAAGCTTCTTCCTAATTCTCTATAATTAGAATGACTTTTGAATGAGAAACAGACTGTACAATTTGTGCAGCCTGAGAGACTTCCTGCTCTAAAGAGCTATGAAATAATAACCTAGAGTGGGCTGCACCAGACCTTCCCCTACAGAATTAATTTTGTCTCCTGGACATCCCTGGGAGTTTTGTGGTGCATTCATAGAGTATCTGGGAAGAGGAGAACACTGTGATAATACAGTTGTTCTCTGTTTACCACAAACCATGAAGACGACCTACAAATTTTCACACCTAGGCAATCTCTGGTGGTGTCCAGCCTTTCTCTTCCTTCTGACCCTGGTGACAGTTATGTGTGCTGCGCTGGTCCCAAATCAAAATGCTCACTGATGCCAGCTGACAAATCAGAAGTATCATGCAAAATCCTGCCCAGTTTGCATCAAGATGCCTTGAAAATCTTGGTTGCTGTATTATGTTTACACCATTATTTACAGGGAATGACAGGAAAACACACTCTTATTTCAAAAGAAGTATTATTCAATGTTTATTAAAACTGGGTTATTTCACCCATTCATATATGCTCAAATGCAGTTTGAGTCTTCAACGTACATAAATAGATAAAGCTTAATAATACACAGTTAATAGATGTATCTTTTTAGTGTGTATATTGCCCAAAAGAAATGTGAAACATGACAGGTTTGTGAAATTTTAAATTAAATGTACTAGCTGAGTTATATGCATTCAATGGCAATGTCATAGTCTAGATTAGTGAAATTATATTAAAGAAAAGTTTTACTTGCTAAGAATGGTATTGGGCCATTGGAGAGGTGAGTGGTGGGAAACTGGACCAAAAATACCTTTGATTATTTTAGTTTTTTACCTCGATGACTACATAAAGTAAGCATTCAGTCCAACAAGTGCTCATTTTTCCTTTGAAACAAAATATTTTAATGAATCATTTTTCTAATAATGTATCAGTGAAGATAATTAACTTTTAGAAAGTCTGGTTTACTTGGAATACCTACAATTTTAATGGGAGACAGAGAAATCACTAGCTTTTTATCTTTTACAATTTTTGCTTCTCCTGTTATCCAGTGGTGACTTTACTTGAGCACAAAAACTGCTTAATTACACAAATAAGTAATGGGAATTAAAACTCATAGAGAAGGCATAGTTTAAACTAAGTTTGTAAATTATTTCCGTATTGCAAAGACTGTATTAGCTCCTGCAACTTCTGAAGCAACTACAAATGATGTTCTATATTATGGCACTTATTTAATGGCTGTTTTGTACTTTGCTATAGATCTTGCATCTCCTTGATACTTCCACCTACCTCCTAATACCCATTATATATCTGGTAGCCCTTTGCTTCTCTGCAAATGAGGAAATTCCAAACCCGTCCCCCCCTCCCTCCCTCCAACCCTCATGCTACCCCAGAATGACTTTTTTTTCATGCAAATAGGGTAGAAGATGGGGATAAGAAAGGGGGTAAAGATTAAGATAGTTATAGGAATGTCATCCTAAATTTATTCAATATTTTGCTTTCTTGGACTTCCCTTTTCAGTTTTCCTAAATGACTTTGACTTTTGTTCTTCAAGCGCAAGTACAAAAACCAGATGTTTAAAATTCGAAACACTGTGGCAATTTTCACCAGAACTTTATTATGATACATTAGTAGGGATTTAGATTAGACAAATGCTTGCATCATTGTTTTACTTTCATGGATCCATTATTTCCCATCTCACCTACCATGATCCAGTTCTGAAGGCAGGTTTTAGTTTCTTGAGAGATTCCATGTTATGAATTCTGCCTTTTCTATACAATAAATATTTCAGTCTTTCAAAGTAAGTAAAACTCCACCTGGAAAATTAAATACACTGTGTGGCAAATAATAAAAAAAAAAGATACTTAATACTAAATTTCTGAATTCGTCTATGTGCTACACAAGGTTAAATAAGTTCAAAGCCAAAACCAAAAATCATCGCACCCAAAGTCAAAACCAAAATTCATCGGCACCACTGCTCCTTGTACTTGCTCTCTCTCTGCTTTTTAACCGCAACATGTCCATGACACTGCGTGCGTATATGTCTCGCAAATTAACATTGATATTTGAATCGCTCGATGAGTTCTTCATGAGTTTCTTTAAAGCTTCACGCTGCCGAAGAGCAGCTTCTTTTATCTTCAGTGTAAAATAACAGGCAGAAAAACGGTCATTTATTATAGCTATTGGCAAAGCCAAAACCAATATTCCTGACAGTATACACATAAAGGCTACTACCTTACCAATGGTAGTGTCTGGTCTAATGTCACCATAACCAACTGTTGTCATGGAAGTTGTTGCCCACCACCAAGCACCAGGTACACTTGTGAAAGTTGTGCCTGGCACACCTTGTTCAACAAAGTACTCCACAGTGGAAAATATAGAGATTCCTACAGAGAGGAAAAGAAGCAGAAGGCCAACCTCCTCATAGCACTGAGCAATAGTCATCCCAAGAGACCGCAAGCCTGAAAGATAAGAAATGCTGTCAGTATGTTGATTCATGTAGCTGTCATTATATCTTTGCAAAATATTTCTTACTTAAAGGCTGACTGCTTTATATTTTCTTTGAATGCGGGTGAACATGTCTTGACAATCACAGACTCAGTAAGATTAGAGAAGACCTCCAAGGTCATCGAATCCAACCTTTAACTGAACACCAGCTTGTAAACTAAACTACAGCACTAAGTGACACATCCAGTTGTTTTATGAACACTTCCAGGATTGTGACTCTGTCACCTCCCTGGGCAGCCCATTTCAATGCTTAACGACCCTTTCCATAAAGAAATTCTTCTTGACATCCAACCTGAACCTCCCTGGCACAGCCTGAGGCTGTTTTCTCTTTTCTTATTCCTTGATGCCTGGGAGGAGAGGCTGATCCCACCTGGCTATACCCTCCTTTCAGGTAGTTGTAAAGAGCAATAAGGTTCCCCCTGAGCCTCCTTTTCTCCTGGCTGAACAACCCCAGATCCCTCAGCCACTCATATGATTTACTCTCTCGATCCTCACCAGTTTCATTGCCCTTCTCTGAACATGCTCCAGCACCTCAATGTCTTTCTTGTAGTGAGTGGTCCAGAATTGGATACAGGATTTGAGGCTTCCCAGTGCTGAGTATAGGGTGATAAATAGTCCACTTGGCCACACTACCCAGGCCATGAGGCCATTGGCCTCTGTGGACACTTGGGCACAGCTGGCTGATCACACCCAAATCCTTTTCCACTGGGCAGCTTTCAGCCACTCTTCCCTCAGCCTGTTGCACTGCAACAGGGGTTGTTGTGATGCAAGTGCAGAACCCAGCACTTGGCTTTAATGAACCTCATACTGTTTGTCTCAGCCCATCTATTCAGCCTGTCCAGATCCTTTTGCAGAACCCTCCTATATCCTCCAGCAGATCAACTCCTCCACCCAACTTAGTACTGTCTACAAACTGACTAAAGGGTACAACCCAATTCCCTCATTCAGATCATCAGTAAAGATATTACACAGGACTGGCCCCAATACTGAGCCCTGGGGACTCCACAAGTCTCTGCCACCAACTGGATGTGGCACCATACACTAACACCCCCTGGGGCCAGTTTTCACCCCAGCAAAGTGTGCATCTGTTCTGGCCATGGGCCTCCAGTTTCTCCAGTAGAATGCTGTGAGAGACAGTGTCAAAGATTTTACTGAAGTCCAGGTAGACAACATTCATAACCTTTCCCTCATCCACTAGGCAGGCCATGTAGTCATAAAAGATCAGGATGATCAAGCCTTGGCTGAACTGTCCTTTCCTAAACCTACAGTCCACAGCTGGGCCTGATCCCCTGGGTGTCCTGCACATGCCATGTGATCATACTCAAGATCATTTTCTCCATAATCTTCCCCAGCACCAAGATGTTCCTGGATTCTCCTTCTGACCGTTCTTGTAGATGGGCCTTCCATCTGCTAACTTCCAGCTCCCTGGTTGATGAAGGCTGATCATAAATGATGGCAAGCACCGTGACAAGCTTTCCTGCCAACTCCCTCATCACCCTAGGATGAATCCCATGTGGCCCGATAGACCTGTGAGTGTCTAAGCGGCACAGCAGGTGACTAACTACATCCTGTTGGATTGCAGGGGGTCTATCCTACTTCCCATCCCTGTCTACCAGCTCAGCGGCCTGGGTGCCATGAGGATATCCACTCTCTTTGTTAAACAATGAGGCAAGAAGGTATTAAGTACCCCAGCCTTTGCCTCATCCTTGGTGATAATTTTACCCCAACCAATAAAGGACAGAGATATTCCTTGGCCCTCCTTTTGCTGGCAATGTATTTATAAACCCACTTTTTACTGCCTTTCACACATGGCCAGATTGAGTTCTAGCTGAGCTTTTGCTTTTCTGATTACCTCTCTACATGACCTAACGAAATCCTTGTACTCTTCCCAAGCTCCTCTCCTTCTTCCAAAAATCATAAACTCTCTTTTCTTCTCTGGATGCTGGCAGAAGCTACCTGTTCATCCAGGCTGCTCTACTTCCTCCTTGGCTTATCTTTAGGCACACAGGTACCGCCTGCTCCTGAGCCTTTAAGATTTCTTTCCAAAAGTATGTCCAGCCATTCTGTAGCCCTCTGTTTTTAAGGGCTGTTTCCCAAGGGACTCTCTGAACCAGTCTCCTGAACAGGTCAAATCCTGCCTGCTGGAAATCCATGTGAGAGGTTTTGTTGACCTCTTTCCTCACTTCGCCATGAAATGAAAACACTCCAATTTCATGGACACCATGCTCATAATGATCTCTGACCACCACATCTCTCACCAGCACTTCTGCTGGTCTAATGAGGCACTGACCCTGGGAAGCTAAAAAGAGGTGCTGCTCTAAACAGAAGCTGGGAAAAAGTGATTTACAGACATAGATCACAGCATCAGACTGAACATCTGACATCATCAATATTTTCTTAATACACAGTATAGGAATTATTATCTGAACAATGTACACACATAATTTAGACAAAATAAACTATCATGATTTATTAATTTGCTGTAAGAGAAGATCTAGCACCACTCTAAACTACTTAAAAACACACAAAAATATATATACTTGGAGACTGGATGTGCCAAGCCTCTGTTTTCCAGCCACTGTCCTATTTTTCTCTTGGACTAAGGAGCCCTTAGTTATCAAATTTGTGTTGCTATGTGAGTACTTAAACCCCAGTTCAGTCCACTTGATAACTTTTTCTTTAAGGACTGTTTTCAATCCTTTTATAGTTGTCACAAACTCCCTTCAACCCTCTTCCCTCCCCCCAAGCCCTATCACTACCTTGTATCTGGAGACATCAGAACCAATACAGTTTTCCTGTAACAGCTGCACTTGTGCCAAACTCAAGATAGCTCAATGCAAGCATGGAATCCTGTTAATTGACTATGTACTGCATCAGTCCTTTTGCCCATGAGCTGCACAGGGAGTTCGGGACCACTCTCCATAACCCCCTACATTCCTGTTAGAGCTACTGCTTCAAGGCTAGACCGCAGGAAGCAAAGCAAGCAGGAAAGTAAATCCAAAAATAGTGCAATAGATAAATATTGCACACATAAAGAAAGAAATAAGATAACAGGGTACCAATTCAGCTGAGACACATAGGAGACTGAAATTATCTTTTGAATTACTTTGGATTAGTTTTTATTACTATTCTTTAAAAAGGTGAGATGCTTTCTCTAATAAATGAGAAAAACATGATGCTTATGCATTACCCTTCATGGGTATTCTTCTCACTAAACTAGTGTTTGCAAAACAGCTTACTGAGGCTCTGCCTCTGCTTGCAGACTTCATGTGCTAGTTAGCATTACAGGCAATTTGATTTTTGGACAGTCTCAAACTACAAGATGTTAACATTTCTTGCTTTTGGCTCTTTCTTTTCCTCTGCAGGTCTAATGGATTTTAGAAATTTTATGTACAGCTAACACTGGAAGTACATGGTAGAGTTTGGAGGCAATGCTGGGGTTTTCTTACAACGCTGTCTGCTATAAACTCCAGTAAAGAAATTACCCGTACTGAAATCTTGTATTACTATACCTATGATATGTAGAATGTTTATTACAATGATATAGATTAAACCTTTAACACAAGGGGAATAAGATGTATCAGTGGAATCTTTTCTCTGTAAGTATGACTGCCTTCATATTTTGGAAATACTAATATCAGAAGTGCAAAAGCTCTGTGAGATAACTGCAAGGACTCAGATCAAATTCTCATTTCCAAGTAAGCTACTATGAGCCCTTGCCCAGTAAAACTTCCTACTAGACAGGGCACAAGAGTAAGTCCTTTCAGGTGAGCTATGAAGAAGTTACAATTTAAAATCATTCCTGTAACACTTTTCAAAGCATAAATGAATAGTATAAAAGCCAGGGTTTGTACCTTATGATGAATCTTGAGAGTATTATAGCTAAAATAAAAAGCAAATATTTCACATAAAAGAGATTAAAATAAGGGGGAAAAGAACAGTAACTGTTGACTCTTTGTATCACAATGATGACATTCTAATTTTTCCTATGGTTACTTATTCTAACTGTTCAGGGTCTGATTTTTTCTTTTTATTATTCTTACTTCTGGTATACTCATCTAAAATGAAGATATATAATTATTCATGTCTTTAGATGAAGTCAGGAGACATCCCTAGGCAAATCTATGAATCAGAGAAGCTACTGGACTCTGCAGCTCATTCTAAGGGGAATCAGTTGGTGTAATGACATGTATAAAGTATACTACTATATTACTTTGTACCTTTTTAAAATGTCTCTGAGTCCTGGCACATGACCAAACTAGGGTTGTTCCAGCACAGACACCTCAGCAAGTCTTACAGCTTCTCATGAGAACTCCTTGCCAGGAGCTGTAACAGCTTGGTTACTCATGCTTGGAAGGTGCTAAGGTGCTGTAACAGAGTTGGTGTGAGGCTGGCAACCAGCCCCAGCCCTGGTAGGAGGAAGAGGAAGCATTTCTGCTATGCAGGTCAAGTTCTATCTCTCTTTTGTCCAAAGTGACTTGGCAATACAAACTGATATTCAGGAGCTTCAGTTTACACATCGTTTAAATAACCCTAAAGTTTTGATACAAAAAGTGCTGAAGTTTCAACTTTTCATGACTCTAGAGGCATGACAGCCTTAAATATGCTATAGTCTTCTCTCAAATACATGCTCATTGCTTTCACAAGTAAGATGCTCATACCCTACTTCTCCTCAACAAGTGCCTCTGTATGTGCTTCCCAGAGGAGACCAGCAAGGCTTCCCTGAAAACATGGTCCCAGGGGAAGGCAACAGCTGAGAAGCATCTGAAAACATGACAAATGCAGCTTCAGTTCTCTTCTATTCTTGAAGTTACTAAAATACATAATTTTGCTGTATCTGAGAAGTAGTCTTGCCCTCTAGCTACACATTTTACAGACAGAGGTACTACTGATTTCTCAGTGGTTCCTTGATGAAATACCGTACTTTGCATAAGTAACTGCACACTCACACCAGTCTAGCCTGAGTGTTTTTATTATCACATCCCTCCAGTGAGCTGGCTTCAGCTTCCAAAGGGGCAGAAATTACTTTTTTAATTTCTTATTTTCATTCTTGTTCTTGTCCCATATAAAGGGTTAAGCTGCTATTTCTTGAAAGTGAAGAAAATAACTGATGTTTTTTCACCTCACTCATCCCTGCCCCTGACAGAAGGGCCAGGCTCTGTTGTGATCCCAGCTATGCTATGGCTCCACAAAGTACCAGAGAGATGTTCTCCTTGTTACTGTGAACACCCCTCCTTGGTGAAAGAGAAGCTGCTGTCTCCAGACACAAATCTTCTGCTCTTGAATATCTTGCCACATGAAACTGAGCAGTGCCTGAAGCTCTGTGTGGTCTGAGAGTGTAGGAGTTGGAGAGAAGACTCACTGGAAGGCACCTGTCAGATCCAAGGCAAGGGAGCAAGACGAGCTTCAAGAGCCACCCCTGAACACGGAGGTTTGTTTATCAGGACTGCCTAGGTATGTGCAAGGAGGATGCTCTCCATGCATGATACAGAGGGGCTCATCTTGTATTAGGAGCTGTGGTAAAGGATGTATTTAGAAGCACATTAACACACTTCTTCAGACAGGAGATCAGTGAGTTTCTACATTTAAATCATACAGATTTGATTTAGCATTCTGGAACTAAGCAGGCAGCAACCGACCTACCAAAGAAGCAACACAATGAAGGTAACACTGCTCCGAGTGGTTTAAATTGATACATATGTTGCTTCTTGTACCTTGAAACTGGCATTTTTATTCCAGTAAAAAGAAGACAGCACATCTCCAGATCACAATACTATATTTTTATGTAATTAATTCACTTTAACCTAACATAAATTCTATGTCACTCAATATTATGATATAAACTGTGGTAAATACTGAATAATTACTTTAAGAATATATAAACCGAAGTGTTTAAACCATCCTTGAAAGTATGTATACCTGAAGTTAGCAGTTATACAAATATCTGAAACATCTGATTCCAAGTTGATAGAGCCACAAAACTGAGTGACAGAATGAACACATTCACTCTGTAAGAATAAATTGCAATAAACTCGAAACTTAACTTGAATCAACATACTTTTGGAAGACCATTTTGTTAGTCAGCACCAAAGTGCCCTGATGAGATAAAATCTTTTAGTTATTTTCAAAACACAGAGAGGATGGCATTCATATTACAACTGCCATCAAAAGTGCACAAAAGCATTGCGAAAAACCTCTACCAAACCCTGCAAAACTTGTAATGAAGCAAAACTAACAAATTGCCAGACTGAATCATTATAAACTTCCTCTCAACTGCTTTCTAAGGGACTATTATGCATCAGTAGAGGCATAATCTAGGGTGGAGAGCAAGATTAAGATACTTCCCAAACCACTATGATTATGCTTATTTTTATGAGTAGTATCAAAGCTACTCCCTGCCACTGGCAGGCAGGTTTGCTACCTTTCAGTGGTAAAAAATATACCATTCTGCTGCTGTGAGCACACTGTAACTCCTGCTGATTTTGGGACAGTTCACAGAGAGGGCTCTCCAAAAATATGGACAGGCATCAAACCATTCCAGCTTCATGGCTGGAAATCCTGAAAGGGCACATTGGGTGCTTTTAAAGAATGATCATAACTGTCTTCAGAACAGCTAATATTGCAGGACAGAGATCATGATTTACTATTAGGATTTAATTTTTAAAAGCTACTAGTGTTGGCTGAACTTTTCTCCTGTAAAATTCAGCACTATATTCTCCACTGATTTAGGTGGGTACATAATCAAATCATTTTGAAAATGCCAAGACAGTTTTTATTCTTTCATACAGCCAGGTACGCACATGCCACAAAGTAGTAATAAAATCAGGGGAAATGCAAGCAGAAATCCAACACTTTCCATTAATTTTCAGCATCCTCTGATAAATTCCCACTAGAAAATGTTAACTTTTATGCCTTCCTTTCACCAGAGAGAGCAAACAAGATGGCTCACAGAAATGCATTTCACCTTCCACCCCACCCCTGCTTGTTGTTCATTCATCTGTCAGGAGTGCCAGGGCACTAAGGGCTCCAGACCACTTGGTGAATGCTGGCTGAATCTGGCACTGCTGCTCTGTACTGCACCCAGGTCCCCCTGCCTAAGCAGCCCCTGATGGGCCCCACAGACCATTGGAATACCAGTGGGTTCAATGGGGCCAGAGAGCCCCTCAACCCACCACCTGCAAAGGATTTAAACAGTTTCCTTGAAACATTCTCCGCTGTGGTTGTTTTCAGGATCTGTGACATGAACAAAATCATGATATAATTCTTCACATATGCTTTTAAACAAATGAAATTGTGACAGCTGTCAGTAGTGGGCCTTGGAACATACAAAAAGTCTGGGCTGAGGATCTCTGCTTCTTCCCTAATAAAATCAACACATATATATGTTCTAAAATTTATCACACTATGAATGACTGGTGGATGACTTACAGCATGCAACACTGAGGTCTGTTTATGTAAATGTTCAATGCAAACAATATGCAAGGCTTTATGAAGAGCTAAAATTTTTCGAAGAAGGCCCTTGTCACTCAGTTATAACGTTCAAAAGTAAGATCTTCAAAAGCCATTACTGCTAACAGATTGTGTCATGCAATGCACGCACAAAATGGAGGACTGTGCCCAGGGACAACTATTGCAGGCAGTGAAATTGAGAAATATCATAGCCATGGCCAAATATACCTGTTGAATGTCTTCCCAGCTTCAACATCCGCAGGGCTCTAAGAAGTCTCAGCACTTGGACAATGCGCCCCACATTCTCCAGTTCTTGGGAGCTCTCACCACCACACAGGCTCTCTACCAGCAGGGTGATGTAGAAAGGCAAAATAGCAAGGAGGTCTATGATGTTTGCCACACTCCTTAGGAAGCGGCACCGATCTCGTGCACACAGGAGCCTCAGGACGAACTCCGCTGTGAACCACGCTATGCACAGGTACTCTAGGGCATCCAGCAGTGCTGGGGCCAGCCAGCTGAGCTCTACTGAAATCAAGGCCATGTTGGCAATTGACACAACAACAAAAACCATGGACAAGGTGCCAAACGTCCTGGCTGCTGCAGAGGAGCCAGGCTTTTCCAAAACTTCCCAAAGTTTCTGTCTGACATTGGGACAGAGGCTACCAGAAAAATCCTCTTCTTCATCTTGGGCATCCAGTTCTTCTGCATCTTTCTTGATGTCTAAGGCTTCACTCAGCTCCTTCCTCCTGAAGTACCTGCCCAGGAACACCCCCCAAGAGATTTTGAATACCAGTAGGCAGATGCTTGTCTTATCATTTACCATGCAAGTCAGAAGAATACACATTAAAATTTACCTTATGTGAACTCACAAAACCTTAATATCAAGCATATGGCTTTTATTGTTGAGCCCCTGCAGCATGTTTCCACCGACTGATATACTTCTATTACCTCATTTCACATCAGTGACACATTCTATATGCAGAGTAATTTTACTGATAGCGTTTATTTATATGGATCATGTTGACCACAGTAGGATCTGTGGCACGACTAACATGAATTCTTAGAAGCAATCCTGGCACAACCAGATCTTCTGTTTTTAAACAGTTTTAAATTTGTTTAATTGTATGCCATTTTTATTACACAGGTCCATATTTGCAACAGTAAAACTGAAGGCATAATTAAAGCCATGCAGTTCATGGGTGAACTTCTGGTCAATACACACTAAGATGACAAGGTATCCTTCTTTCTTTAGATATATGGGCTCTCACACAAAGTGGACAAGCATTTGTACTGAGTAAAACTTACAGACTGTAAATATATAGTGTTTTGTCAGAGTAAGAGTGCATTTAAAGTGGAATTTTGTCAATCATAAACATACTCGAAGTACACAAAAAAAATCTTTTTCTTTCATATCTTTCTTTTTGCCTGCTGCAAAGTTCAAGCCTTAGACAAAGGTGTTGTTCAATTTTGCCTTCAACACAGTCAGTCCTGCATATGTCAAAAAGGTCTGTAGCTCCATGTATCACTAAAGTAGTAGGAGCATTCAGTTACACCTACTAGAGAAGGAACAAAGGGATGAAAACTAGGCTCCAATTTTCTCAGCTGAAGAACTAAGCCATACTAGGGTTGGATATCTCTAATATCCTTTTGGGATGGTATAACTTCTTTCTTTCTAATAAATTGGACATAACTGCTATAGCTAAATAGCAGTTACATTCTTTATAAAATTATTTTCTTCAATACTAAAAAACCCAAACCAGTAACATTGAATATGGTGGGAAATTAACTGCAAATAGAATTAACAGAAACATCCTGGGGGTGGTTCAGTCAAAACCCACCTCGTTCCTAAACTGCCTGTTATAATTTGTCTCCAGTGAGCCATGTTCCCGCTGTTGCTGCCCCCTCCCTGTAAGCTGTTACATCCACGTGCAATGCTTCCTTTCATGGCTCCTCCTGGAGCCATGCCACCCACACTCAGCCTGGCAGGTGACCAGCCCCCCTTCTGCCTCTCCAGCTTGAATTTGGAAAGCCTTCAAAATTAAAGTGCAGGTGGGCAGGATCCAACACCTCACAGCATTGTGCCTGACTCCACATCTAATCCCTCTATGATAACCTCAAACTGAATGATTGAAGGGGCATCTCTCACAACCCTTTTCATCTCTGCCACTGTCCTTTTCAATATTTTGAGCTTCCAGGCCCAGTTTGAAGCCACTACAGGACATCCCAGACTCTGTTACTGTCTCATTATCTTGACCTCACCAGCGACCTTTCCCACAGCAAATGGTAACTGTGACCTCACCCAACACATCTCCCATTTCTGACACCCATCCACTGCTGGAGCAGCACTCTGGGCTCAACTCACACAACTTTTCCTGCTACCTCACCTATCCCCACTGCTACACCTCTCACCTGAGGGTCCCTGAATGCAAGTCAATGCTGAACTCATCTAGCCCACAATCCACAAGATGAGGAAGCCTCATCTTCCCACAACTCACCGGTCTCTGCAGCAGGAATCAATGCTGAGCTCATCCAAACCCCAGTACTGGATCTCTTGCAGGAAAGAGAGTGCACAAAGCTGCTCCATCACATGCAGCCTCCCTGTCTGGTAGTAATTCAGGATGTAGTGAAATGCCTGTGAGCTTCGGTCAAAGAAATACTCATTCTCCACAAGGTTGGCATCATCACAAAGCTCAAGGAGGCCAGAAGCCACATCCCGGGCAGCAGAAACCACTACTGCCAGTTTGCCAAGACGGGTGTCAGGGTAGCAAGACAAAGTTTGCTGGGACATCACAAAGCGACTGCCTCCTACATTGATAGTAAAGCAGTCCAGAGAGGGAATGACCTTCTGGAGCAGGGGCCCCTGCTCTTCCTCACTGGAGAAAACACTGGACTCCAGCGAACCCAGGGATGTGCTACTCCCTGGATCCTCCAAAGATGCTTGGGAAGAAAGAGACATGCAGCAGGGAGGCGACTTCATCCTGTAGCTGCCAGCAGCAGCCCACACTCTCCAGAATCAAAATCACAACACGGCTGCAGAGAAGGCTGCCCCGCCAGGCTCGGAATGTTGCCTCTGGCTACCGTCCCAGGGACACCGCACCAGGGTCCCCGCTGCCTCCGGGCGGTGCCTGGAGCTGGGCGGAGGTCAGGCGGGCGCTGCACAGCCCAGCGCCGCCCGCACCCGCGAGGATGCTGAAGGAGCCGGGGTACCTGAGGCGGCGTCACCTCGTGCTGTCCGCGCCGGCACCGTCCGCCCGCGACAGCCCCTCCGCTTCAGCGCTCATCTCCAGCCGCTGGGTCGGGGCAGGGGAAACCCACCGGGATGACACAACACGAAACACCGGCTTCAGCGGCGACTCCGGGCAGCGCCCCGACAGCAGCCCTCGGGGCCGCTGGCCAGCCCGTCCCCTCCCGCCCCGCGCTCGCACTTCGGCCGGGGCTGCTGCGGCCGGAGCCGAGCCCCGCGCCGGGGCAGCCGCCACGCACAGAGCGCCTGGGCAGGGCTGCCGCCCCCGGCCCGCCCGGCCGCTCCCCGCCC